TTGACGTCAAGGTAGCTCGGTTCTTAGTGGTGGATATCCATTCACTAAATCCAATCGATATCGATATCGCCCGCGAAGCGTTCGACAATCAGTCGATATTTCGATATTGTCGAGCGAAGCGAGCCACGAGCACAGCGAGCTGACGCGCCTGTGTGCGAGCCCCAACTGCCCCCCCCCGGCTGGTGAGGGGGCCCTGCTGGAGGCTCCGCCGGAGGCAATTTTTGTTTTAGCAATTTGGCTTCATTACCCATCACAATTTCCGAAGAGTAGGCCTCCGAAGCCGGCGGCACGTTGTACAGCAGGTACAGCCAACCTATTCGAACAGCATGTGGGTGAGCATATGAAATCGGAATATGCAGCAAAAGCGTTTCATGGACATGTTGGTCATCTTCTGCTTCGCTGTCGTGAGCTTCTGTAGGTGCTGGTCTTGAGAAGACACACTCTTAGACTTGTAGTGGGCTTCAAGGTTCCAGGTGTGGCCTGTCGTGAAGGTAACCACGTGATGGCAAACGCTACACACTGACTGGACGATCCTTTGGGTCTACAAGAAATAGATTCTTCCACAGTAAAGACCGTCCTCTCGATGGAGGCTTCGGCTTGCAGGTTTTGATGCCGACGATGTTCAACACATTCTTTCACATCATCAGCAGCTGCGGCAGACGCAGCCGCCTCCTCCCCGGACAATGAACTCATGCAGTCGCAGAATCGTAACTCTTAAGTGTGATGCATGGTGGGTGTAGGCATGTATGCTGAAAGCTGTCGACCTGTGCGCTGCTGCCTGTGTGTGGTTTGCAGCGGTGGGGGTTCTGTCGGGGATGTGCATCATTGCTTGATACCTGCGTATTACCAGTAGCATCATGAGTCACGCATTTCGCATTTCTCTCTGTAGTCGATTGCAGCGACACAACAAGACGTGTTCTGTCTGTATGATGGGTATGCGCAAATACACTTGCGTGTGTTCTACACGTGTAGCCTAGACATGATAGGTTGAGAGTTGAGGACATGTCCATGTCCTGGATACACAGCAGTGGTAGAAGCTTGCGTGTAGAAGTGGAGCAGGGAGATGACTCTGAATACTTACATACGCATATCAGAGACTCGGAAATATTTGCCGTGAAACTTCTGGGTTTGTCCAAGTTTGTTCGAGACCCCGAGAGACCAGTACAGCGAGTAGATCTCGGGAGAACTCTGCTTTGATGGTTTGTGTGATTTTGTTTTTTTTTTCGAGATGAGACACAAGCGCGCTCTCGCCCCTTATGCTCACTCCACTAAAGCACCATCGAAACCTGACCCGGGAGTCAGTCAGTAATCAGACATCATTCTTTGCTTCTTCGTTCCGAGGCACACATCAAGTTGCACCCGCACTCGACGTGTAACCTCTGTGTAGGCTGCTGTACAACAACCACAGCCTACTACGAAGCGACCGCGGCACACAGTACACACCTGCTGCTGCTGCTGCCGCTGCTGCTGCTGAGACGCTTATCGCCGCGAGGTCCTGAGCCTCGCATAAACGCGTAAACCTCGAGCTGCGGACAAGCCATCGAGTTCAGCTACAGGACCTCCTAGCTTCACCAGGCTTGCTGGCTGTGGTTCAACTGCGGAGAAGACACAACGGGAAACGGTTCAGCTTTCGGTTCGGAGGACACAACGGGAAACGGTTCAGCTTTCGGTTCGGAGATCACCAAGAAGATACGAGTTCGACTGTGGGTGTATCTCGAATGGGTAGTCTTTTTTTTTTTTTTTCTTAATGACACAACAAATCCATCTCTTTCATAGAAGAAGAGTCAGAGACAGATTAGCAATGAATTCATAGCGTCAGAAAAAGCTACCTGTGTGTCTACGATGTCCCAGGCAGCATATAGGGACATCTCCCCTGCGGGTAACAGGCTCAACAAAACAGTTTGGTAGCTGTCTTGTGTGTCTCAGTCTTTCTGTGTGTGTATTTATTATTCCTTAATTCGAGGTCGAGCCAGGACGAACGAGCTCCGACTGAGGAAGACAAGTAAGCGACATACGGTCTCACACACGCAAGACAGGGCCTTCACACAGTGGGAGGAGCTCCTTCAGTGCTGTAATCACGAAGACGTTCGCTGGGAAAAAGGGCTCATACACAGAGCAGTTACTTGCTGTATCACCGCAGCAGGGACGGTCCACACCGTAGTCCTACACACCCATTCGCAAGGAGAGGGTAAACAGGAGCGGGAACGGGAAAGGACGACCTACAACCGCAATCCTTTTGAGCAGGAGCGGGATCGAGACGGTCTGCACAGTAGTCCTATACACCCAACCGTAAGGAGAGGGTTAGAAGGAGCGGGGCCGGGAAAGGACGACCTACTACAGCAGTACAACCGCAATACTTTTGAGCAGTAGTGGGGTCGGGACGACTTAAAACCGCAATCCTTTTGAGCAGGAGCGGGGTCGGGAAGTCTCGGGTTCACACACCACGAGCAACAACTCTTACGGCAGGAGGGACTGCACAGGTGGACGTCCACCCCCCTTCCCCAAAATGTCGGATACCCTCGCCCCCTTGTGGAGACCTTGACAAGGTCGAACACCTTGGAGAAGACCAACCAAGGCCTTCGAAAAGGGGAGAAATTGAGGTATTTTTGAGGCAGGCCTCAAAAGGGGAGAAACCGAGGTATTTTTGAGGCCTTGGTTGTCTTCTCCAAGGTGTCCGACCTTGTCATGGTCTCCACAAGGGGGCGAGGGCATCCGACATTTTGGGGAAGGGGGGTCGACCTCCACCTGTGTGCTGCGACAGACAGCAGGGAACATCAGCTTCGTCCTGTACACCACACGGCAACAGGAGCGCATCGCGGTAGAAAAGACAACCAGGATGGGTGATCATTCTCCCGGTGACAACACCTCCAACCTCGCCAACACCGTTCGAGGGCTGAAGAAGTCCGACGGAAGGAACCCAGCTGATTTACAAGGGCTGGATGAAGAGGCTCTGCGTCGTTCTGGGAGTGACGCACAGGGACATCCTTCCGTTGCTGAAGGCCGGAGTAGTCCAGCAGAAACGGACGATGACTACGCCGCCTACTGCAAGTCGAACGAAGACCTGTACGCCACACTCTATCTGCTAGTGGAACTACCGGCGGCTCTTTCGGTACAGAAGCACGAGGACGATAGCGAGATCAGCGGAGGCGGTCAGGCAGCCTTCGAGGAACTGAACTTGAACTACAACAAAGGTACGGTTGACTTGATTCGAGCAACCATGGAGGAGCTGATCAACACGCCCATGGAACACGGGCAGAACCCAGACGACTACATACAATACTTCAACCAGAGGCACCTCCTACGACACAAGGCTGAGAAGATGGGGGAAACGATCTCGGACCGCTACTTCAAGGACATATGCGTCACCGGCTTCGCCGACGAGTACGAGGATGTCAAGATGATCATGTACCGCGACCCAGACTTCAACGTCGACAAGATGCAAAACCACCATGCTTCATATGTCCCTTGACTAGCAATCTCGCAAAGGGCCGAAGGGCAGCATCGCTGGATGCGGTTTCGCCATGACTACCACTACCTCAGAGGCACCGACTTACATCGACTGCTAAGAAAAGGGGCACATCCGGAGGAACTGCCCCGAAAGGAGAGGCAAGGGAAAGGAGAAGACCAAGCCGCCGGAACCGCCAAATGGTGCTCGGTTCACTTCGCAACCAGGCACTCCGACGAGGAATGCTTCAAGCAAGCAGCGACACGGCCGAAGATATCCAGTAACACGGGCAAGGCCCTCTCCGCATGCGCTACTTGTGCACACTGCTCCTCAGTCAGCAACAAAACGGAATCAGCCACGACAAAGAAGGAGGCAAGCAGTACGGAAGCCGAGCTGGACGGGAACGCTACAGGACCTATCCATTGCACCGTCCAGGACAGCAACGGCGAGGAACAGGCCGTGTTCCTGCGAGGGCTAGTCGTCCCCGGCCTCGGACACAACGTCTTCTCGCCTACCGCGCAGATAAAGAATGGCGTCAAGCTCGTCATCGAGGAAGGCAACCCGCACCTTACGGTAGGAAGCCACATTTTACCGCTGAAACAAGATCCGCGCGACATGGGTATGTGCTCTCTTGACATAGGGTTGCAAGCCGCCTCAGAACAAAAGACAGCGCCTACGAAACCAATGTCTCACGCACTTCTGGACGATCGGGCGTTTGGCAAGGTGGACGCGGTGATGATTGATGATGACCTAGGGGTCGCAAATGCAGCCACTCCTCAACTTCCGGAGCATGGAACTGCTACGCAAAAAAGGAGAGCAACGGAGTCGATTTCTTGGACTTCATGACGCCGTGCGACATCTGCGCCATCAGCAAGAGCAGGCAGCTAGCACATCCGAAGAAAACTACTCGCGAGACGACGGCACCGACGCATACTCACCGATTAAGGGAATCTACCTGCTCAAGGAAGTCCGAAACCGTTCGAGCACTTCACACCTACAACATGCAGGTGGCTGCTCCCCACCGCATTGAGATTATTCGGTGCGATAGAGGAGGGGAAAACGTCGGCAACGAGTTCACCACGTACTGCATGGACTCAGGCATCACCATCGAATACGCCACGACCAACACGCCTCAGGAAAACGGCGTATCCGAGCGAGACGGGCAAACCCTGACGACAATTATCCGCTGTCTCATGAAGGATGGATCCTTTCCGCCTACCCTGTCGGGGGAACTTATGATTACGGCAGTGTACCTTTCCAACCAGTCACCCCATTCGGCACTGGGAGGGGTCACCCCGTAGCGGACCTGTCTCGCCTCCGGGTCATCGGGGCCAGATCTTTCGTGCATCACGAGCGGTGCACGAAAACGATGAGTGACCGCGCGTTCGAAGGCAAATTCTGTGGCTTCAGTCGAGACAGCAAGGCCTACCGGATCTACAATCCTGCAACCGGCAACAACGTAGTGAAAAGCAGGAACGTGACCTTCATTGAGACATCAGGAGTTCGATGGATCGGGAGTCCTCGACACCGTCGA